CTAAATACATTTTTTTTTAATTAATAATCAAAAAAATACAAAGAATTGCCTAAAGAGGCAGCGAGAAGGGCATTGTCGTAACCTGGTTTTCGGAAAACTTCCTAACTTGCTCCCGGAGGTGTGAGGCAACTAACAGGCCGCCAGTTGAATGTGGCCGCAGGAGCAAGTAGAGTTTTATGGAGCTACTATTGACTGGGACTTGGAGCCTCCGGAACTCATAGAGGGAGATCTGGTCGAGCTCACGATTCCCGGACGAGGTAGTCGGCAATTTGATGGACAATTCGCGTGGAGGTCCATAGTCTTGTCGGAAGACGCGTGGCTGTGGACGTATAGAGAGCACCAGCCGGCGCAAGGGGTAGGCGTAGTGAGGGCCTACCTGTATTTAGGGCCAGCTGCGATCAGGGAGGCTGTAGTGGGCCTCGTGACGACAGGGASTAGTGGGACGGTTAGCAGAGCGTTACGGTACCTAGAGGAGGAGGTAGCTGCCTTCCGAGCAGAGGACTCGCGCGACCCGTTGACTCTATTTCACGGGCGCCCCCCTCTTGATATCTCGGGCGGACTGGCGATAGCGCGRGACGGGTTTTTCCCGTACAGCGTTAGGAGCCTGAGAGCGATAGTGCCGGCGTTCGTGGTAGAAAGTGTCTTTGGAGGCATTGGAGGAGTAGTGGAGACATACCTGGCCTATCAGGATCTCAAGATCCTGGCGAGAAGCACTACAGATTTAACCTACATCTATTATTCACTCGCGACCGGAGGACTTCGCTGGGGAGACGAGAGGGTTCARCTTATAGAGCTGATCCGCTCGATAGACGATGAGTGGCCCCAGTCGTCGTGCGTTTGGGTTTGGCTAGACCGAGAGCTCCGAGCAGGACCCGAGTACGTGACCTGCATCGGGCGGCTTTTCTCAGACGACGAGGARAGCTGGTGGGCTGAGGACGCCGAGAGACCTCTGATATACGGACACCAGTTGGCGCAATACTACCAAGGTATTGGACAGACCCCATACCGCGTCGAGGACGAGTTTAATGACGGAGGATGGGAGCGAGAGGACGACGAGAACGTCTGGGAGCCGGACTGGATTGACCCGGAGGATGAGATTGTCGAGGAGGAGACAGACGCTTCGGACGCCCATTTCCCCAGGATAGGAGTAGCAGTCCTGGCGTAGTAGCAGTCAGCTTTGGTCACTGATATCGGCGAGTAGTGAAGAGTATGGCGGATCAGGATATACTCAGGGTGACTCTTTCCCTGCGACGGGATAGGACAGGAGGTTGGGAGGAAGAAGCGTTAGACATTGTCGAGCGACAAGTGAGACTCATGACGGAGCATGCCCTGGAGATACGGAGAGGCCAGAGGTTCACTGAGTTTACTATCTACTACCATGGAGCCGACGGGAGAGTGCATAGCACCTACTCAACCGTACAGGATCTGAGTGGTAGAATTGTCTGAAAAGTCGGCAACATGCAGAGATAGGGTGCGTCGGAGGGATTAGAGCTCTACAGATCAAGAGCCGGAGAGGAGATGAGAAGTGACTCGGCAGCCTGGTTAGTATATGTTCTCTCACGGAGATCCGAATCGTACCACGTGAGAAAGCTTGAGGGACCCAGAGAGACGGCGGTCGGGTACGACATACCTCTTCCTGTGGCGTTGGAAGGTACGGAGCGAGTGCCGATACGACACGTGGGGACGTGGCTCGCAGAAGGGCTGTTCCTTTGGACGGTGATACTACGAGACGAG